GAGCCAGATTTACTTTTTTAGCAGGAAGTTTTCAAGATTCATCCGCGTTGTACCATTTTTTTATTTAAATTTCCTCTTTTTTGGTGAGTAGAAGTATATTTTTTGGTACTTTATTTCTTTGCATGGTTGAATAATATTCTATGGTCTAGCTATAACATATTTTATTTATCTATTTATCAAGTGACGAATACTTGAGTTGTTTCCACCTTGTGGCCATTATGAGTAATGTTGCTATAAATTTTTGTGCACATGTTTTGGTGTGGACATACATTTTTTTTTTGTTTCTTTTGGATATATATCTAAGAGAGAAATTGTTGGGTCAAATATTAGCTTTATGTTTAAGCCTTTGGAGGAACTGCTAGGCTGTTTTCTCAAGTGATAGTACCATTTTCCATTCCTACCAGCAATGTACAAGGGTTTCAATTTCTCAACATCTTCACTAATACTTATTTTGCGTTCTTATAGCCATTCTAAGGGGTCTAAAGTGCTATCTCTTTGTGGTTTTGGCTTGCATTTCTCTGATAACTGAGGATTTTGAGCACCTTTCCATGTACTTAATGGCTATTTCTCTTTTTCGTAAATAAATACTATACAACATTTTTGCTCATTTTAATTTATTTTTTTAATATGTAAATTTTTATTCAAAGGTAATTCAAGAAATACATGTTTGGGTCATTTTTAAAGTGAGATTAATTGAAGATCTCGGGGAAAATGATATCTAATTAACATACATGGCTACTCACAGAGTTCTCTCTTCTGTTGATAGCAGCTAAATTTATATACACAGAAAAAATTCTTAAGACCGCACAAATGTCATTTGCACATCTTCCTTGCAGAAAGGTTCATTCAAATCTTTTGCCTATTTTTAACTGGGTTATCTACCTTTGTTGATTGAGTTGTAAGAGTTCTTATGTATTCTGGGTATGAGACCCTAGATACATGATTTGCAAACATTTTCTTATGTTCTGAGGGTTATAGTTTTACTTTCTTGATAACATCCTTTGAAATATAAAAGTATTTGATTTTGATGAAATTCAATTTATATTTTAAATATATATTTTTGCTTGTGCTTTATGTATCATATCCAAAAATACATCAACAGGCTCAGCACTTGTTGTGCAGTGGTTACGGCACCAGCCACATACACTGAAGTTGTCAGGTTCAAACCTAGCCCAGGCCTGCTACAACAACAATGACAACTGCAACAAAAAATAGCCAGGCATTATAGTGGGCTCCTGTAGTGCCAACTCCTTGGGAGGCTGAGGCAAGAGAATCTCTTAAGCCCAAGAGTTTGAGGTTGCTGTGAGCTGTGATGCGATAGCACTCTACTGAGGGCAACATAGTGGGACTCTTGTCTCAAAAAAAAAAAAATACAAATCCAAAATCATGAAAATTTACCCTTATTTTTTCTTCTAAGAATTCTATAGTTTTAATTCTTATGTTTAGTTATTTGTTCCATTTTTAGTTAATTTTGTGTATGGTGTGAGGTAGAGGTCGACATTCATTCTTTTGTGAATATCCAGTTGTTCTAGCACCATTGAGAAACCTATTATTTTCCTTCATTGAATGGTCTTCATACCCTTATTGAAAAAAATCAATTTCCCATAAACATAGGAGTCTCTTAATTCTATTCCATTGATACATACTGTGTCCTTTTACCAGTACCACAGTGTCTTGATTTTGGTAGCTTTGTAGAAAGTTTTGAAATCATGTGAGTCCTCCTTTTTAAAGACCATTTTAGCTATTCTAAGATCCTTACATTTCCATGTCAATTTAAGGTTCACCTTGTCAATTTCTACTCAAAAGCCAGCTGATTGGGATTTTACTGAATCTGTAGATTAGTTTGGTGGGGATTGTTAACTTAAAATATTAAGGTTTTTCAATCCGTGAACATGAGATGACTTTTCATTTAGTTAGGAGAGCTTTAAATTCCTTTCAATGATGTTTTGTAGTTTTCCCTTACTTGGTTAAATTTAATTCTATTTATTTTAATTTTTATTTTATTTTTACTTAAACATAATAATTGCACATATTCACAGGGTACAATGTGAATTTATGAGGCATGTATGCGTTATAGAATGATTAAATCAGGTTAATTAACACAAAATTATTTTCTGTGTTTTTAATTTAATTTAATTTTCAGATTGCTTATTTTTAGTGTGCATGAATACATCTGGCCCCCAACTGACAATGGTTTGACTTAAGATTTTTAACTTTATGAGGGCGTAAAAGTGATGCACATCCAGTAGAAATTATACTTCATATTTTGAATTTTGATCTGCTCTTGTGATGCCGGGAAGCGGCAGTGAGCTGCAGCTCCCAGTCCGCACATAATCACTGGTGTAAACAACCCATACTCTACAGCGTACCATGTTGCCAGATGGTTTTGCTCAACCGTAGGCTGATGTAAATGTTCGGGGCACCTTTAAGATAGGCCAGGCTAAACTATGATGTTCTGTGCGTTAGGAGTATTAAATGCATTTCTGACTTACGATATTTTCAAATTATGATGTGTTTCTTGGGATGTAAGCCCATCGTAAGTTGAAGACCATTTGTACAAATGATTTTTTGTATGTTGACCTTGTATCCTGCAAACTTGCTGAACTCCTCTATTAATTCTACTGACTTTTTAAGTGAATTTCTTAGGATTTTCTATATAGAAGGACACATTATCTGATGAAGTTTTACTTCTCTTTTTTCCGAGCTGGGTGTCTTTTACTTCTTTTTCTTGCCTAATTTCCCTGAAAAGAACCTCCAGGACAATGCTGAATAGACCTAGTGAGAGTGGAAATCCTTATTTTCTTCCTGAAGTTAGCGGTAAAATGCCAGCTTTTCACCATTAAGTACGGATATTAGCTATATTTTTTCCATAGGTGCGTGA